TTTAACAATTAATAACTACTCTGCATGTAGATAATACAGTACTTCACTATGATAAAACACATATTTATGCTAAGTCTAGCTCCCCACGCAGTTACAATACAATGATGATTTGTTGGCTTTACATTGGATGTTTGTGGATTTTATGTGAACAGACATGCAACTGTTTATGTTATATTTCATGCAAAATTTCTCACAGATTTAATCTCATAGCGCCTATTTTTTACATATTTTCTGGGATTGCATACCCCCAGAGCCCTGAAGCATTTGTATGCTGATTGTGCTTCACATAATACATATTAGCTTTTGATCTTGCAAATTAGAACTCCCTTTTCAAACACTTTGCATATGGGCCTGCACTTGAATTTATAGTTATATACTACTATTAGTGATTACTAGCAGTAGTAATAGTAGTCTGTATCACTTTGCTTTCAGTTTCACCCAGAAGTTTTTATTTACAACTGCCAGTGCCATTAGGATACTAGTACTAGTAACTAGTAGTGTGTACTAGTTCTGCAATGGCAATGTAATTTTGCAGTACACTGAACTGAATATACAAAATTGCAATTTATAATTATACTTATAATATAACTTATACTATACACTATACTATAGTTAACTTAAGTTATACTCACAGTCACAATGTCAAGCTAATTATTTATATTTTCATTTTACGATATTTTATTGATTTAACTTTGTCTGAAGGCGCCTTAAAAGCTCCCATACACATAAAACATATCAAAATAAGTATCTTTCCAAACAATATCCTGATATTTTTCTGAATAATAAATTTTGTGTAAAGTAGAAAACTTACCATATTTTACTCCCTGTCCTAACACTAGTAGAAAAGAATTATTGAAGACACGAGTGAGACCTTCCCTGGATTGATGCAGTCCCCGTAGATCAAAAGCAAACACAGCAAGTAGTAAGGGATCAATGCCATAAATGTTAATTAAATCTCTTTGAAAAAAATGAAACATAAACACTGAAAAAAAAAAAGAGAGATTGTGAGAAAAAACAGCAAAATACAACAGATACAATATTTTTGTAACTAATAAATATATTATATGTTAACTATTTTTTGAAGTTCTTATCAAATACAGGCATTTTTGAGTTAGAGAAGGTGTAAAACAAAGATACTTTTCTTTGTAAAGATTAACAGCTTTGTAAACACAAATTAAGTAACGACGAACAAATACAAATTTATAAAAATATGAAGTTTCGACGTACCACGTGCATCATTTATTTTCACAATATACCCTTGAAAATGAAGCACGTGATATGTCGAAACGAGTCGAGGCAACCAACTTCGTATTTTTGTAAAGTTGTGTTTGTTTTTCGTTACTTAATTTTTGCTTAAAAAGCTGTTTTAATTTTTACAACATTTGTAGATAGCACAAAGTACTACTTAACTTCATGATACTGTTACGTCTCCGTTCGTTAGTTAATTTTCCGTAACTTCGACGAAACTTTAGCGACACAAGTCCTTTCTTAAATAAAACTGGTTTATTCTTTCTGAATATAACTTTGCGATACACTTAATTTCAACAGTCGCGCTATAACAAATGCTAATTATTCTCAACGAACGTCTCACGTGCTCAACAATATTCTCTCTCCGCAGTTCAATTACACACACACTGTCCCGTCACG